AAATAGGACGTCTAAATATGAGCACAACAAAAAGTGTCCAGCAGATGGCAGACAAGATTATTATGGGTTCTAAGATTTCATTTGTTGTAAGAGACCAAACAGGTAAACAGTACGACATAGTTGAGAGTATAATGGCATGAAGATAGATATTTGAAACAGAAGATGTCAGATTGGATCTAATTTTTGAACAAATGTATAATTTCTGTTTCAACTGTCTTCTTGTCTTCTTGAAAGGAAAAATTGAGTCAAATCAAGTATTTCAAGAATCTTTCCAAGTAAAATTTTCTTACTCCATTGGCAGAAATGTTTGACTTAATTCGAGTGAAATTTTCAGACTGATAAATCTTACATTCTGAAAACAAGATTATTCTTCTTACACAATCAGTTAGTCAATGAGTCTCAAAACAAGATCAAAAAGATGTTTTGACTGGAAATAAGATTTGAAAACTGGGTTAGGTGGACATTTCTTGCAGTGTGGTACTGAATTATCTAGGAAGAAATTAAAGCATGAAAAGCGACAGCCTAAACAGCATCGCTTCAAAGCCTGTAGTGTTCTGAAAGCAGAAGCTGAACAAAATCACAAAGATGTTGAAAATTTCAAACTCTGAAGTATTAGCTCACAGCTACACTGCAAAAACTGTCCATCTTACCAAGTTTTAAAATCTTATATCCAGCCAAAAATTCTTTTTGATCTTGTTTTAAGACTGATTTACTAAACAAGAACTGATTGTGTAAGAATAATCTTGTTTTCAGAATGTGTAAGATTATTTGTCTTGTTAGCCTGAAAATTTGACTCAAATTAAGTCAAAATATCTGCCAGTGGACTAAGAAAATTTTACTTGGCAAGATACTTGAAATAAGAAAAAAATTATCAAGTATTTCAAGAAGTCTTACCAAGTAAAACTTTTAGTCCATTGGCAGATATTTTGACTTAATTTGAGTCAAATTTTCAGGCTAACAGGACCAATAATCTTACACAATCTGAAAACAAGATTATTATTCTTACACAATCAGTTCTTGTTTAGTAAATCAGTCTCAAAACAAGATCAAAAAGATATTTTTTGGCTGGATATAAGATTTTAAAACTTGGTTAGGTGGACATTTTTTGCAGTGTATCTGAGGCCATTTTATAAACCTTTACATTTAATTCTAAGATTTGCAAGCGCAAACAGCAGTGACTAGCTGTAGCTCCTTTGGTGAAGCCTTTAGGGACATAGATAAACATTTCTGCTGGATTATTTGTGATGCTAAATGGACCCTTCAGTTTTGCTTCACTCAGCCTAGCGGTTAGCTCACCAAAAGTAATTTTTTTCCAAGTTATTTTACTTTGAGAGTGATCTACAACAGTTCTTTAAAAACATCTCAATTACCTGTTTAACCCTATGGCAAGAGACCCTTAACTGCACACAAACATGCTAAGTGATAGCACAAGTTTGTCATTTAAATYAAAACAACCACCAGCTGTTCACCAATAAGGCAGAGCACAGGACACCACTTTCACATTACCCAGATTTGGCTGAAAACAMTCCTCTAAATACCATCCAGTCTTTGGATTAAATGTAATTTGTTACAAATTTGCACAAATAAATTGGATACACATGGATCCATTCTTACCTTGTTAACACCAAGGGAGTCTGTGTTTGCTGGCCTGACACCATACACAATAGCACTGCCAGCCACAGCACCCAACATCTGAGCTAGCATGTAGAAAAAGGCCCTGAGAAAACTGATCTGGCAGGTGGCCAGCAGGCCCAAGGTGACGGCAGGGTTCAGGTGAGCGCCGCTCACGTGGCGTGTGCACTGCGTCAGCGTGGCAGCAGCCAAACCAAAGGCGAAAGCCACTTTTAACTCCTGGTCAGGAAAGGAGTTATTGTGGCTTCCTATCGCTGCAGAGAGGCCAGTGAAAACAAAGAAGATCACTCCCAAACATTCGGCGAGAACGGCCCTCCAGAAAGCCCACAGTTTGATCTCCAACATGGCTGCTCAGACAAAGCTTCTGTGGCTTTTAACTGACGCACAGAAACCTGCTTCCACCAGCAGTTCTACAGGGGAAGTTGCAGCATGCAGGTAACGTTCACCTGTCCTTAGGACTGAGAGAAAAAATTAGTCCTGATTAAGAACAGGTGAGCCTTCACGTCTCAGTACTTTTCCAGTTCAGCTGAAGGCGGAGCTGTTTGCTGTTAATGGATTAAACAGGAAAAAAAGCTTAAATAATCTTTGACATCATCTGTTTTGTAATATTAAAAAGAATAGCTTATTTGCTAAAAACATGACACATCATAGATTTAGCGAAACAGATAAGACCCACTCATTGGAAAACTGTAATGATGAATAAGTTTCAGATAACCGYACTCTTTAATTCATCACACGAGGGGACAGTTTCAGCATAAATTATGAAAAAAGAAGTCCAGTTTAAAACACAGTTTTTGTGTACAAATTACTCACCAGATTTCTGTACTTAAATCTGTTCCAAGTATTTGGGCTGTGCTGAAAAATACTTTAAATAAGCTTAACTAAACTCGTCAAAATGATGCCATGTTAATGTAAGCTGCAATAAATAAAATAAAATAAAATAAAATAAAACAAAATAAGATAAAATAAAATAAAATAAAATAAAAAACAAAACTGAAAATGGCCTTTGAGGTCATTTTCTGTATGGATGTGTTTTTAAAATTTTGTGTAAGAGACAAACTTCATGTTAAAGTCATGTCAAATGTTTTCCTGGCCAATGCTTCAGTTGTTCTATTTTAAGTGTCGTTGATTGCATTGAAGTTGACATCAGTCATTTGCTGCCGTAAAGGAAATTTGACCTTTTGAAGTCATGACAAAAACAGCCCACTATATGCTTTTTCTGCTAAAAAAAATGATAGGTTAACATGTCACATCCTGTCTTCCTCTCAGGATGAAGCTTTTTTTTAAAAGTACGCCTTCTGCTTTTGGCTACACTGCTCCGAYTCCTTCATTTATCCTATCAAACTAACATACTTGCACGTTTTTTGCGGCATCAATATTTGCTGCATTATCTTTAACATAATTTCATCTAAATTGCAAAACAAGCGTGCATGAAAAGCRTTTAACTTAGAACACTGCCCAACATACAGTGTGCAATTTTTTTAAATATTGCATATTTATAATTTTGGAGCCAAATTACAATATCTTGAATGATGTTATTGCTTTACCCTTTAGCATTTCTTATTACTTAACCAGAGKAAAGGTTTTCCTGAGGTAACAAAGTCAGAGGCTGAACACGAAATGTCATCCTGTGCACAAAGAGCACAGTCATAACTGAACTGAAGGTTTTGCACTGATAGGCAAGTCAAAACAATAGACTCCAGTAAACGTTTGTTTCMGAGAAGTTAATTCATGTCAAGCCAACAAATAATTCACTTCCATTTTTCTTTTGTTTTTTATCTTGTGTGGTGTAAAGAATTTAAACGTTTTTCATTACCATTTGAAAACAATGGAGGGTTCAAAACAGTCAGTAAACCATAAAAATAACATTTAATGCAGTATAAGTGTGTTTTAATGCAAGCTATATAGTTCTTTTAACATAATGTTACTTTTCCAACTAAACCTAACCATGTAAATGTTTATTGCTCTCCTTAACCCATTGCTTTCTAATATCTAAACCTAAACATAATAAAGAAAAAACAAAGCAATCACATGATATAAGCTTACCTACACCTGCTGTCATTATTARCAATAAAAGAAGTATCGATCACATATGGTTTGCTGATTTGCAAAGAGACTAGAGCCCCAAAACAAACAACTGAAACCCAAAGGGAGGAAACATATTAAAGCACACAGGTCTTCTCTGCTGATATAAGAATGAGRAACATTTAGTGTGGGAGACATTATGGAAGGTCTGAGTCATGTGGAAGTGACAGGGCTGAGATGGAATCACTGCGACCACATTCAGATCAGATTCGAGCTGCATTTGGGCCACATTGTTTTAGCAAGTAAAAGACAACCAAAATCCTGTTAGTTTGCTTTTTATATTCAGAAACTGTGTGAGACTCATACGAAGCCAGCATAGCTATCCCTCCTATGATATATATATATAGG